CTCATCTGGGACCACTGGGGCTCCAAGCAGCTCAGCCTCCACCCCAGCCCACAATAACACTTCAGCCCCAACTGCAGGGACTTCATCAGCCTCAGCTGCCACTTCAGTACACAGTGGCACTTCTACTATGGCTACTACAACCCTACTTGACAAGGGTACTAAATCCTCAGTTTCCAGCCAGCCATCTGACATTTCCACCACCACTGCCAACATGAGCAATAGTAGCAATAGCCATAGCACGGTGCCTCCCTTCACCTCCTCCAATCATAGTTCTCCTTCCCAGGTGTATGTTAGGGTCTCTTTCTTCTCCCTGTCTTTTTACATTTCAAACCTCAAGTTTAATTCTTCCCTGGAAAACCCTGAAACCAACTACTATCAAGAACTGCAGAGGAACATTTCTGAATTGGTGGGTATTTGCCTTTCTTTTGCCATACTCCCGTAGGGCAGCTTTCAGAATTATTTCAATCTTTTGCATTAAGCCTGAGTCCTTTTCCTCTCACCCAGGTTTTGCAGGTTTATAAACAAGATGGTTTTCTGGGCCTCTTTAATATCATGTTCAGGTACAGTTCTGGGTCAGACTGTGTGTGTGTGTTTTGGGGCTTGTGGTCATAAATGTTGTGCGGGACCTTGTGTTTAAGGTTGGGGGGAAATAATGAGCCAAAAGCTGGAACCTTTGGCTGAATTGATTATTTCCTATGACCAGACCAGGATCTGTGGTGGCAGAACTGACTCTCGTCTTCCGGGAGGGTACCACCAATGCCAAGGAAGTGATGTCACAGTTTCATCAGCTTAAAGAGGAAGGATCCAATTATAACCTGAACATCTCAGGAATCAAAGGTGAGGCTACATCCCCAACTAGAGCCGAGCCCCATGAAGGGTCTCCTCTCCCTCCAGTTGTGCTCTTTCCTTTGGTGCTAGCAGGAGGAGGGCTACCTCCTTTTGGAGACTTCCTTGACCACTGCTTTTCCTTTTAGCGAATGAGGTGCTGTTTCCTTCCTCTGCCCAGTCTGGGTCTGGGGTACCAGGCTGGGGCATTGCCCTGCTGGTGCTGGTCTGTGTTCTACTTGCGTTGGCCATCTTATATCTCATTGCCTTGGTAAGTACTCAGGCTCTGGCCTTCACTGGAATCCCCTGGTAGACGGAACCCTGTGGTCCAGCATACATTCCTGTCTCCCCAGGCGGTGTGTCGGTGTCGCCAAAAGAACTATGGGCATCTGGATATCTTTCCATCCCGGGAAACCTACCATCCTATGAGTGAATACCCCACTTATCACACCCATGGGCGCTATATGCCCCCTGGAAGTACCAACCGTAGCCCCTATGAGGAGGTGAGGCTGGGCCCCCCAAGCAGGGAATGGAGGCAGAGGCTCTGGCTGGGGAGGTGTCCCAGGGGGATATTTGGAAACCCAAAGAGTTTGTAAGAGGTGAGCCTTAAAGAGCCTGGCAAGATTGGTGGGGGTGCTTGGAGGTGCTCTGGGGCACAGGTCTGGGAAAGAGATCAAGGAAGCAAGGGGACCTCAAGAGGGAATAACCTCATTACCAACATTCCCCAAAGAGCATTCATTACCTGTCCTCATTCACCACTGGCTGAATGGGCACCAGGGCAGTGCTCAGTAGGATGCCCAGAGGCAAAATGGGTGGGGTAGTGTGTCCAGGGGAGCTCTTCCTGCAGAGTCACAGGAGTACACCTGGGCGCCCTGTCACCTCCTCCTTGGAGTGGGGAGTAGATTGAGAAAGGCTGGGGGGGGTCTCCAGGGGAGAGGAAGAAATCTCACCAAATCAGGTGAGCAGAGCGGAGGGGTTCCTGGGAGCCTCAGGGAAGCAAGGACACCCCCCCCCACCACACACACACACTGCCTTTCTGTGCAGGACCTAGTAAATAATTATAGCAGTCACCCGGGACTGGAAAGCCACTCCAGTGGGGGAGGAGATGAGTTTCCTTTTCCTGCCTCCCTTTCTCTCCTTCTGGGGATCGCCTTCTCCTGGTTTTATATGCTCGCGTGGACACAACCCCCCACTTGGGCTGGAGGAGCAGAAAATGGAGAGAGAAGCGGGCAAGGTGCAGGCTGGGCAGGCAAGGGCCGGGGAGGGGGTGGAAGGGAGCAGTGAGAGGAGCGGGCTGTTTACAGTCACCTGGCTGCTGGTGGGGCTGCAGGTGCTGTCTCCAAGTTAACCCCTTGAAGGCTGATCCAGTCTCTGGGCTGACTACCCCAGACTGGGGAGCCATCCAGMGGTCCCAAGAGACAGCTTTTGCCCCTCACCCTGGATCTCTTTTCCCTCCACCCAGGTGTCTGCAGGCAATGGCGGAGGCAGCCTCTCTTACACGAACCCAGCAGTGGCAGCCACTTCTGCCAACTTGTAGGGACAGGTCACCTGCTCAGCCTCAGCTGCCAGAAGTGCCTCAGGTTCTCCACTGCCAGAGCCCCCCTCCCCCAATCTGGGCTAATGAGCTGGGAATCCGGGTGGGCTGCTCACAGCCTCCCTCAGAGGCTCTACCAAGCCCCCTAACCCATCTTAGCCTGGTGAAGCCCAGCTGTGCCCTGGAGGATATGCCTGGGACAGTGGGGCCGTGGTAGCTCTCAGGAGGATTGGCCTAGAAATTCTGGCCACAGAAGTGAGAACCCCAACATGACTGAATAAAATGTGGCCTCATCACAATAAAATGTTGCCAACTTGTGGTCTTTCAATCTGCAACTGGTGGATAGGAGGGTCCATTAGAATGTGTCCGTGAGGAACCCTGGAAGGGACTTTGGGAGGTTGGAGATGGAAAGGAGGTAAGGAGCAGGGTTTGAGAAGCAGATGTGGGGAAAGAGGTGATACTGGGGCACAGGGTGACCTGCTGGAGAACTCAAGAGTCACCTCTCCTCCATTCCTGGTGGCACAGGAGGAAGAAGGAAATGAAACCTCCTAGGCCTGCTCCGGTGGGCCGGGATGACTCGGCTCCGTCAGCACGTGGCTCAGCCAGTGGATGGCTGTCCCCTCTCCTCCAGCCTGGGTTTCACTGGGCTGGCCACCCTCCTCTCCTGCTGGCACTGTGCCCCCAGGCAGCTCTATTCTTAGTTGCCTGGGTGTGAAGCAAATCCTTGGGCAGTGATAACAGCGCAGAGTCAACACCACTGTGATAAGTGGGGGCTGGGTCAGATCCGGCAGCTGGCGCCAGACCCTGCCCCCACCCTGGCCCCTCAACGCCACACCCACTGCTAACCCTAGGGTGGGATCCCAGGCACCCTGGGAATGGGGAAGTGGATTCTGGTTCCGTGACCCTTTTAGGCCCAGGCACGATGCCCGGGCCCTGAACCACATTCCCCCGGGGCCCAGTGTGGCTGTCCAGGTGCCCGGTCTAGGACCTGATGCAGCAGCCAGGGTGCTGTGCCTCCTGGCAGCTATGGTAAGCTGGGGCCTGGGCCTAGTACAGGTGTGGCAGGAGGCTGGGAGTACCTGGCTTGGGTATCTCCTTCCCTCAAGCACCCTACCCTGACCAATAACAAAGCCCCTTGGAACCGTTCCACCCCCATTCACTGCACAGAAACCAAGAGGAATGGTCACGCTCAGGGAAGGCAGAAATGTGCCTGGCGTCACAGTTTATTGTTATAAACCATGAAAGTTACAGCTGTTGCTTGGCACAGGTCTAGCAGTGCCCACTGCAGGGAGGCAGCAGCAAGCACCAGACGCCTTGCCTGGCCCAACCCAGCAGGAACATCCAGCCTCAGCTGGGTCCCCAAGGGAGACTTGGCATGTTGGCATGGATACAGGACAGGTAAAGCATGCAAGCGGGAAAAGAGGGAGGGAAGGGGCATGCGGCTGGGGGGTAGGGGAGATCCAAATAAAGCAGGATGATAGGGTCCCATCCCCACTCGGGAGACCAAAAGCCTTTCTGCCCCAAGGCTGTATGTAGTTCAGCATCAACGGGGCAAGGAGTTTGTCAAGGCGAAGGGCAGAGCTGGGGATCATGCCCAGTATTCCAGGCGCCCTCCCTCCCAGTCAGCCTTGGCACAAGACAGGGGTGAGGAAGGGGCTCTCTCCATGATTTGGGTAAGATGCCGAGGGCAAGGCAAGGGGCGGAGGCTTGGTGGGCATGGGGGCTGGGGCTAACCAACAGGCAATGGAGAGAATGGGGGCATCCAGAGAGGTGAGCTGAGGAGAGCTCCTTGGTCAAGAGAAAGCCCTGGGAAGACACAGACAGAAGGGGAGGGGCAGGACCACATGTCAGGAAGAGTTGGGGGAGATGTTGCTGGGGAAACAACCCAGTGTGGGAGGCTCGGGGAAGCCAGGGCCCAGTGAGACTCCAGGTGGACAGAGCCGTCAGAAAGGATCAGTCTAGCTTGGCGAAGCCTCCAATGGTGACTTTCCTCTCCGGCTTGGTGCCCACAGGCTCCTGCAGCTGTACCGCACCACCCCCTATGAAGCAGAAGGCAGGGCACACGGGCCCTGAGCAGTCCAGGGGGCACTCGAGGAGCCCCCGGAAGGACACAGCATCCAGGAAAGAGACTCGACCCCGCTCATAGTCCAAACAGATACCCAGGCGGGGTGGCAGGGGCACTGTGCAGCTGGCAGCCGGGCCATCCCTCCCTGTCAGCCCTGCATTTGAACTTGCTCCAGACCCCAGCAGGATCTTGCCCATGCCGATGGTTAGGAAAGCAAAGGGTGGTAACGCCTCCACGGTGGCATCCTCTGCACCGCTGTCATGCCCGCTGTCCGGGTCATACCTGCGGAAGGGGGAGTTGGGTAGGAGAATGTTGGGGGTGGAATAAGGGAGCCAGGCACGGGAGACCAGGAGGATGAGATGTTGGGAGGATGGAATGCTGGGAGTGGGAGGTGGAACAAATTGACTTTGGATCGAAGAGACAGGGTTCAGAGTATAGGGTTGGGGGCTTGGTTTGGTGGGAAAGGGTTATCGAAAGGAAAGCACATTGACGAGAGATGTTGGAGAAAAGGGAAGGTAAGTATTTGCACAGCACACTAAAGAAATATGGCAGCTGGATATAGTCGCACATGCCTGTAATCCCAGTGACTCTAGAGGCTGAGGATTACAAATTTGAGGCCAGCCTCAGCAACTTAACAAGACTCCCTATTTCAAATTTTTAAAAAGTGAAAAAGAGCTGGGTGTAATGGTGCATGCCTGTAATCCCAGGGGCTCAGGAGGCTGAAGCAGGAGAATCGCAAGTTCGAAACCAACTGCAGTAACTTAGCAAGGCCCTCAGCAACTTAGAGATACCCTGTCTCAAAATTAAAAATAAAAAGGGCTGGAGATGTGGTAAAGCATCCCTGGATTCAATCCCCTGATACCGAATAAAGAAAATAAGAAATAAAAAGGGGGCTGGGTGTACAGCTCAGAGATAGAGTGCCTCTGAGTTAAATTCCTAGTACTCCCCACACCAATGTGGTGCTTATCAAGATAGAAAGATGTTGAGAAAAATGGTGTTCAGGAAATCATGCTGGTACTTGGGATTAACCCAGGGTGCTTTTAACACTAAGCTATATCTCCAGTCCTTTTTTATTTTTCATTTTGAGACAGGGTCTTGCTAAATTGCTTAAGGTCTTGCTAAATTGCTGAGGTTGGCCATGAATTTGTGATTCTCCTCTTTTAGCCTCTCAAGTCGCTGGGATTACAGGCATGTGCTACTGTGCCTGGCTGGGAAGAGGGTTTTGAGAGTTAGAAAGTTTGAGGGGTTAGTGATTAAGATGGGGGAAGGTATGGCTGGGTGCAGTGGTGCATGCCTGTAATCCCAGTGGCGTGGGAGACTGAGACAAGAAGATCATGAGTTCAAATCCAACCTCAGCAAGGTAGCAAGGCCCTAAGCAGCTTAATGAGAACCTTGTCTCAAAATAAAACATTAAAAGGGCTAGGAATGTGGCTCAGTGGTTAAGTGCCCCTGAGTTCAATCCCTGGTATAAAAAAAAAAAAAAAAGATGGGGGAGGGAAAAGGCTTGTAGAAATGAGATGTTTAAGGAAAGAATTGAGAAAAGATGGGGGTGAAGGAAGTTCTGGAGGGAAAAAGTTTCATGGAGAAAATAGGGCGCTAGAAAGGACATGAGGACGTGGAGATGTGGGGTACTGGTCTTGAATGACAGACAGAAGCAAGTGATAATGGCTTTCCCTTCCCTCGTCCCCTTCCCCAGCCACACACCCTGAAAACCAATCCTCAAAGACCCTTGTGCTGAACCCACAGCCTCCCAGCCTGGCTCCTCTGTTCCCGCTGCTTCCTTCCCAGCCCCATCACGGCAATTCTGGGTACTGCACTTGCTACCTCTGCCCTGTCCCTGGCTCCCACCCAGGGTCCCCGTTCCCTCCAGAGGGGCCAGACCTGGGGCTGATCACATCCGGGGCACCCTGGAAGCTTTCCTGAAGCTTGCTCTCCAGCCCGACGCCCACCTTGACCAGGTAGGAGGCAGGGTCTACGGCACAGGCCCAGTAGCTGCGGCCCTGGGTCACAGCTACATCGCCCAGGACCACATCCACACTCAGGTGACAGCCAGTCAGCAGCCGCTCAGCAGCCAGCAGCAGGGGCAGCCCGGGGACGCTCCGCACTGCTCGCTGGTCCTTGCTGATAGCCAGCCGCTCGCGGCTCGCACCCCAGCGGCCATCGAGGAAGAAGTGCAGAACTGGAACAGGGAGGAGGGTTGAGACAGAAGGAAGAATTCAGGAACAAACAAACGCTGGCCCTGGGGACAGGGAGGTGTGAGCACAAGACACTGGGAGATTTCAGAACAGGGAACAACCTCTCAGGGTGTGCAGTTACCAAGAAAAGGTAGGGAAACTCAGGAGAACAGACCTGGGGAACTGAAATGAGGCTCATAAGAGAAAACGAAAGGGACATTCCAAGTGGAACCGGGCTCCAGGAAGTTTCACTGGTGACTAGTGAACAAGAACCAGAGCCCCAGACCTGACCGACTCACAAGGCCTCCTCCAACCTCCGCCCCGTGGCAGGCCCTCGGGACAGTCGGGGCTCACACCTGCCTCTGTACCCAAGCCTCCCTCTCTGCCTTTGCTTTGGAGGTGAGTGTCCCCTATCATGCCCAGGTCCTAGCAGGCAAACTGTTTTCTAGAGTCACTTTCCTGACATTCATTGAACTATGAGCCAGAAACTGTGCTGTCTTCACCAGTGTCACCTCAGAACAGTCAAATTCTCCCACAACTCGATGAAGCATCATTATTGTTGTTGTTATTCTGTGGGGGACTGGGATTGAACCCAGGATACCACTGAACTATAGCCTCAGCTCTTGTAATTCCTTTTTTTTTTTTCTTTTCTCCATTTTGAGACAGGATTTTGCTAAGTTGACCAGGCTGACCTCAAATTTATGATCCTCCTCCCTCAGCCTCTCATATTGCTGCAATTATAGACACGCACTATCATGCCTGGCAGTATTACTGTCCCCTGTAGAACAGGACTCTGAAGTTCAGAGAGGGTGAAAAACTTGTTGAAAGGCACACAGCAAGAGTTAGATCTGGAATTAGAATACAAGAGGTCTAGCTCCAGAGTATGAATGCACACGACCAACAGTATTAAACCATCCCTCTAAGCTGCCTTTAATCTCAGTTTTTGAGGCAGGAGGATCACAAGTTTGAGGCCAGCCTGGACAACTTTGCAAGACTCTGTCTCAATTTTTTTTTTATAATTTATTTCTTAGTTTTCAGTGGACACAACATCTTTATTTTATTTTTATGTGGTGCTGAGGATCGAACCCAGCACCCTGCGCATGCCAGGCAAGCGCACTACCGCTTGAGCCACATCCCCAGCCCCTCAATTATATATATATATATATATATATATATATATATA